TACAATGGTACAATGGCATATAGCATAACAAATTCCCTATATTTTCCTAATAAGAAACTGAGTTATTTTCCTTTGCTGAAGTTGTCAGTCTTAGAGATCAGTAAATATCTTATCATAGATACAAAATGGAAGCAATTTACTTATAAATTATTTTTACGTTTACCTTGTAAAGGAACAATGGCTGAAGAGATAGTGTTTGTTGATGGGATTGGGTAATGGCAATGGGGTAAGGGCTGAAATGTGAGGGCACAAAGAGATGCCGTGACTGCGCTCGCTGACATTAAAGACTTTGATAACGGCCGACAGTACTCGATGGAATGACTCCGGTCTCAAAGCACAGATGACAAGCAGGGCCTTGAGTCACATTAGCCAAAACTCGTCCTGTAAGAGACGCTGACATTAAAGATCGCTGGGCTGTCTGCTTTGATAACGGCCGACAGTACTCGACGGAATGACCCCGGTGTCACAGCACAGACGACAAGCAAGGCCTTGAGTCACATTAGCCAAAACTCGTCCTGTCAACCTAATGCATTTCCCTCATTTTGTTTCCTTAAAATAGAAGCACAACATGACATTGAGATCATACTAAAACATAATGCTTCAGTGCACTTGATTTATTAAGAGGATGCTTTTAAGATCGTCTGCCATTCAATAGACATGTGCCTTGAAGCTAGCTGAGGATCTGTCACTGCCTGAACAAATACTAAAAATTACTCTATGCTTCGTCCATCCATATTTCATGAAGTCCACGGCAGAATGACAGTTTGCTCTTTAGAGAGTATGTATAGCAGTCTCCGGTTTCATTGTGCAGGTTTTGTTGGCTAATTGAATTTTATCTAACTGTCTTCCTTTCTTTTCGGACTACATTAGCATAACAGCGCTCGTGGCGAGATCCTGCTTCACGCTGGATGAAAAGAGGTGACATCCGTCTCCATGCGTTTTCTTTTTAATGAGCTCTCGCTTTTTTATGCCAAACTGAAATTCAATTCAAACTGAGCAGAACAGCAAGAAACCGTGTTCACACTAATTCCAGCTAACACAGGAAATGGACGGATTTCTCCCAAAGGACTCGATTTGTTCAGACAAGAGGTCAGATAGGACGTCAATATTAACAGTAGCCATTTTCAATGCATTCATATTAGCTATGTTCTGAATGGAATACCAGTTAAACTGCACTGTATACACGATATACTGTCTACTATTTTGAAAATGACTTAATTTCTTGTAATTTCGGCAGTGTAATTTTATATCTTATTATTTTATATTTTAAATCTAATATTAAAGTATTACCGGTCAAAAGTGGGTCAAAGATGCATCAAATTAAACTTACAAAAGTGATTTTTATAAACAGAAAAAAATATTACTTGCAAGTGTCTACTTTAATGTTTCAGATAACTTCTGTGAAAATAAAATGTCAAAATACGAGTAAATAATATTCCATTGTCATTCAGCATAACATATATATTTATGTAAAAATGAAACAACATACTTATTATGACATGTACTTATTAAAATATATAAAATAAAATGTGATCATACTAAATTGTATTATATTTTAAATTATTAAAAACTGACAAATGGGTAAAAGCTAGTGGTTTGAAGGGTAGTGGCACAGATTGGTAAATATTTAAAATGATAATTAATTCATTTTGGTAGGGCTCTTTTTGATGTCATCTAATGATTCTTGTTATAAATATGCCTGACAGGATTTTTGGTATGTAAACTATTGCTACACTGTATGGCATTTTAGTGGATGTGTTCTGTAAATCATGGTAAAAATGTATTATAGTCTTTATTTTATTTTATTTTATTTTTATTTTATGATATTGCTCAGATGGATGGATGAATGAATGAATACAACAGAAAACATTCTAATGTATAGACAAATTAAAGCTGTATTAAACTTTTGTATTGTTTTGATGCTTGCAAACCCCTTGAAAACCCATATTGGAAAACAAATAGGAACATGATGTCACAGAAAAGGCACTGTCTCTTTAAGACTAACATGTCAGTAGTAATTGGCCTATTCCTAACTCAGGCTCCCTTGGGCTCTTGGCAGGAGCTTGTAGGGCAGAGGACCTACAGCCCATGTGGGTTATAATAGGACATTGTGGATTTGTGTATCCCCAGAGGCCCCTGGCAGACCAGACAGCCTTAATAGAGTTCACTTTTCTCTCCATCCAACCTTCACTCACATCTGACAAAGGAGAAAGATTGCAAGCTCTGGTAACTTTAGATCTATTTAATGTACACAAACAGTTATTTAAATACGAATTAGGGGGCAAATCTTAATCTTACACCAAACTATTACATTCTAAAGAATTGTGAAGTTCCAAAATGATTGTAGCACTTTGGGGATAGTACTCCAGCTTGCAAATCAAGGTCTATATGGTTGCAGTTGTGAAAGAACTGAGAAATGCATTTCTAAGTTCAAAAGAAAATCTCCCATTACACTTTGAGAGAAATCAACACATACAGTAAATGCACAGCTACATAAAATAGAGGCATCAGTGAGAGAAGGACAAGAAAGCCTTCACCATGCAGACAATTATTGTGGCTCATCAGGAGCCAAGAAGTCAAATGAATTTCAATCTTCTAGAATGGTTTGCCACTGTGTTTTATTATCTCATGAGCACTCCGCATTTGATAATTAGTCCTATACCAGACAACTGCTTATAATCAGCAAACTCTTTTCCAATGATTTAGAAAAAAAAACAGTATAAATTTTCTAATAATCGCGTAAAAACT